CTTTTTAAAATTGTTTACTCTCACAGCGGGGGTGCTATATAAATAAATTGAAATCTCTAACTTTTTTTTTCAAAAAGAAATTTTAAAGTGCAGTTTGACCGCCGAGTCTAATGAAGTCGTACCTGATCTTGACTTGCAACACTTTTTGCAGAAGCCTTTAATGCGAGCGTTATTTGATTTATACCTCATGGCCGTTTGAGTGTCTCTCCTCTTGGCAGCTTAGATCGTTACTAACAAATTTTACAGTAGTAATGTAATAGTAATTGACCGTGTTTCTCCTCACGCTGCCTTTAAAAACTTTTGTTCTCAGATATTTAGGAAAGCGCTACATGGTGTTACTGAGATCAAAGACACTTAGATACGGAAAAGAGAGAGAGGGAGAGTTTAGATACACCGCGACAGTGTTAAGAAAATTGTGAATTTTAGAATGAGGAAACGTTTCTCAAAGGGCGCCATGGAATTTTTATGCCCACGTGACAGGCAGAGACCAAGGATAAATAAATATATATTATTAGTTTAGGTACAAGCTTGTGAAGCTCTATCAGCAAACAATAAACAGAAGACGAAAAATAAAAGGAAAGACAGCATTACTTTTTGAGCTATGAAGAGCCTTCACGGACTGAGATTTCGTCGAAGACGAGAACAAAATGTTCGCACTACTCACCTTGATGCTTGCTCTTTTTGAACTCTTCACAAGAGGTTCCCGCACCGAATAAAAGTAGTGCTGGATGAAGGACAGCTACTCAAGCAATTAGAGTTCTGAAAATTATTCGGCATAATCAAATAAATATAATCGGAGTTTAATGCTAATTGCCTGCTTGACCCTGTACTTTCTTCTTGACTGTACAGCAATGCAAGATCCCATGCAAACGATATGCAAAAGAGTCGTCCTTTTCTAATCTGCGTCCTAGTGTTTTTTACCCCTATTGATGGGTGAAATTGAACTATTCCTGATGATCAGTTTTATCTAACGTCGACAACATCATCGGCGCCAAGGTGGGACACGACGCGGATAATTCTCGCCCGAACTTTTTGGCATTATTTTGAAGAAGTCATGACCATTGGAATGGGATCGCATGGGACTGAAGGTTGATGGTGCCAAACGTAAATTTTTTGTTTGGCTGACACTATCTTATTCATTTCAAGGCATATGCTGAGCGGGACAAACTGGCTACATTTGACGCATCTGGAAGATTGTTTGTTGCATTGCAAAGGACTTATGGAACGCATAAATTCCTTAAGAAGCTTCTCTTAGTGAAACCACACCAAACGAATACGCTTGAGATATGTAAATTCGAAACGCGTAAATCAAGATGAAGCAATCTGCTTTAGAGGGGGGAGAGGAAGCGTGGGCAGCATAGAAACGGTCAAGGGTGGTTGAACAAGAATAAACAAAGATTCCACTGTACAATCCGACTGTTTTATGCCGTGACGTACGTTTCAGAAACATTAAGCATTTACGCAAGCCAAGTAGATAGTCGGTTAGCTTTAATACCTGCACCGTAAAAGGTAATTTTAGGATTTTCGAGCTAAACAGCGGGAATACGAATCCTATCAACGAAGAAAATTGAAAGAGATGCTGTCTTACATCAGAGTTAGGAAGTCGATAGGAGACGGTTATAGATCAGCTCTCGTCACGAATTGCTCAACTGACCCTTACGAAAAGAATACCCGCTTGATCCAGTAAATTACAGTAAATTACAAAGCTTCTTTATAACGTGTACAAACCCAGAACAAGCACTGCAGTGCTGTTTACTCGGAGCGAGTTCTCTTCATTAAGGAAAGAGTGACGGCCCTATTCAAGGAGAGAG